GGTTTAGGATACAATCTGAGACTTCTGTTTGGAATTTAAGTAGCTCTTCCTCATCAACTAGAACAGGAGGGCTTGTTAAAACACAGATTATGGGGTTCTATCCCCAACAATTCTGATTACTTAGGTCTGTAGAAGAGCTATAGAATTTGCATTTCTAGCAAGTTCTCAGATGATACTAATGCTACCCTTCGAGAACCACTTTCCTAAAGGATATTGCCTCCCTCCTCCTTCTCTTATTCCTCCTTTCTTCTTCCCTCCGCCTCATCTTTTCCCACCTTTTTCTCTTTCCCTTCAAAAGCAATCTTCTCTTCCTCTTTTTTATTCCTTACCCTTCCCTCTTTTTCTCTTCTCTCCCCCTCGCACCCCCCCCACCCCGCCACTTTCCAGAATGGTATTTAAGGCATCCAGAGGACTGTGTTTAAAAGGACTTATTTAAAGTATTTATTCACATAACAATATTTACTGAGCAACTACAAAGATTCATTTATTCATTCGTTGAACAAATATTAATTGAGATTCTATTATATATCCAGCCCTGTGCAAGAAGGGCAAGACAGACAAAGGCTCTACCCTAACAGAATTTCCCATATGACCAGAGAAGGTAGATAGTGCACAAATATATAAATAATGGTTATTACCAAATATCATTAATGCTCCAAATTAAACAAACAGGTTACTGAGATGAAGAATAATAAAGAGATGCATTTTCCTTGTGAAATTTGAAAGGGCCTGGCTCCACAGAGTGTTTTGGCTGAAACTCAAAGGATGAGAGGAAGATAGACAACTAGAGAACCTGGGGACGAGTGGTCGGAGAAGAGGAAATGGCAGGCACAGAAGCCCTGAGGCAGGAGAAATCAGCTCCATGGGTGTGTCTCCAAAACGTAAACCACAGCCTTGCACACAGTGGGTGCTTTGTCAAGATTTGCTGAATGAATGAATAAATGAATTATCAGACCCAGGCAACTGGAGAGTAGAAGGCAAGCAGGAGAACAGCAAGTAGTGGGCAGAGGCTGGGTAATGAAGGGCCTGGGTGAGGACCACGACCTATTAGGTCATGCATGAGGAGTTTGGATTAGCTTTGCCAATCCACTCTGCCCTCCCCTCATCCACCCAACATCCCCTCTCCCCATCTACGCCCAGTTCAAACCCGCATCTAAAATAGCAGTTCTCAAACAGTGGCTCCAGGACCCTGATGACCAGGTGTATCATTCAACATCTATGTTCCTAATGTGACAAGATTCGTGCTTTTAGCCAGGAATTCATAATTAATGACATGTTAATTATAACATAATTGTTAATTAATTGCTATGACAATTTTTTTAAAAAACAGCTGTTTGTTCACTTATGTCTAATCAAAAGCAGCCTCACCCTTTCCATGTAGTCTGCAAAAAGTTTCCTAGTGGCAAGAAGAGGTTGTCCCCTGAAATGTACAGAGTGGTTGATCCCAAATTCCTGGAATGCAGTAATTTTTAAAGCAAATGTAGTGCCATTATGTAGGATAAATAGACTCAGAAGAAGTTGAGGAATTCCAAACAAAGATGAGAACGAAGAACAAAATGGATCAATTTATTTATACTTTGTACCATAGTTTCAAGCAAACTCCTCATATAAAAGATGTCTGGCAGCTTCTCCCAGTCCTATATTTCCTTAAATCTATTACAATTCTCTCTGATTTCTCATATTAGTATATTTGCTTTTAAAAGGAAAAATGTAATCAGTAAAAGCTTGAGTTTAAACTTTCCCTTTTGTTTCACAGTATGCTAATTTTTATGGGTTATTTAGGACCCACTAATTATTTGAGAGCTCTGTTGTCAGCCTTAAGATTTTCCAAGACAGACCAATAGTTATATACCTCTGGAAAAGAGATGTCTATGACTATTGTCCTTTTCTTCAGTATTGCTATGATTCTTCATACAGATTGAAGATAATAAAATAGATAAAGGATACATGATTCTAAATGTATATGTCCTTCTTTGGTACATCAAAAAGAAAATAATTGCATTGAAAGAAATCACTTCCTTTTTCCTAATTCCTGTTCCCAAGAGCTTTATTAGAAGGTCACTGTTAAAAACAGAATTTGGAAGCACCTAAACTATGTTATTATGAGGATATTTTATTGCCTTGTTTGATTGGTCCTCTTCAAACTTTGACTTTTTGGTACATTTGCCTGCATGATAAGGAAAGATTGTTAGACAGTATATTGGAAATAAAATATAGCTCTAAAATTACTAATAGGGTACAGTATATTGGTGCCATGTAGTGTTTTAAAAAAATGGGAAAGCTTGGAGGAGATAGGATTTATTGAAGATTTCCACAAATGACAGAAGGCTATTTAGTATATGTAAGTGGGAAGAGTCTAAATCTGAGAGCTGAACTTGAGAACATTTTAAACCTCAATAGAAAGGGCAAAGTGAAAGATGAGCAACAAAAGTCAGTAAGTGGATGAATTTAAAGGACAGCAAAAAATGTGATTTGGGTACAGTACCTTACTAGGCAAACTGATCTTGTACAACACATTAAAATTTGCAAAAGTGCTTTACTATATATGATCTTATTTATTCATAATAGCTGTGATGTATGTAAAGTAGGTATTATTACAGTTTTACAGTGGACGAAACTGTAATAGAAACTTGTTTTCTTAATATAGCAAAACAAGGAAAAGGTAATATTGAGAAGGAGTAAGGCTGAAAAAACACCCCGGTAAAGGCTGAAGGCAGCCGTAGCCTGCAATAAGGCTTGCAGTATCTAACGGAGGGGAGGAGGGGGCTGTCTTCTGGTGAGGCTGAAAGGTATGCCAGGCTGTGCAGAGCCATTGAACTTGGGGACAACATACAGAGTAAAAGCTCCTTAGTAAGACAAGTGAGCGACCTGGGCAGAGAAATAGGAAAGATTCTGTTTTCCCAGAATGACACACCTTTTTTGAGTGTTTGCTAACTTGAAAAGGAGAGTTGAAATCTCTGATCTGGCTGCAGAGATTTGAGATCTCTGGTCTAGCTGCAGATTAAGAATCCATAAACTCTTTGAAGGAGAAGGAACTTTTTTTTTTCATTAACAGATTTTTTTTAAAACATATTTTCTAAAAGAATTAAAACAAGTTTTGCTTTTTTCCTTTTTTCTACTCTTCTTCAAAGTAGATACACGAGATAAAAAATCCCAAAATAAAGTTTTATGCATAACCTGTCTATTTGAAAAAGAAGGGAATATGTTCTTCTTCCACTGATTTGAAAATTAGAACACGGAATCGTATATCTTCTGGTAGTTGTTAGGGATGGCATCCCCAAAAAAAGGGATAAAAAATTTTAAGAGTTGTAATATTTTGCTGTCATCACCTGTGTACAATTAAATATTTTTGCTGTTCGCTTATTGGGAGCTTTTCTAAAATCCATCTTCAGATACATAATCATTCGGGTACTAAGGCAGTTGCTAAAGGGCGTACAGTGAGTGCCGAAAATTGAGTAAATGCCATTTCTTTGTAAATTTGTGAGAAGCTGAGCCACGAATAGTATTTTTCACAAACAAGAGTTTACGCGGCTTTCTTCTATTGGTTGGATAATTATGGATGAAATGGCTTCAACTGCTGGGTGAGCCAGTGATGAAACTGCTTTGCTATGGGTTGAACAATTGACGGTGATGATACTTGTTGGTCAGCGCTATTTGCATAAGATTTAGGGAAGACACAGACCAAAACAAGAGAAAAGAGAAAGTGAGTGGGAGAAAAGAATGAAGGTCAAGTTGACAATTGTCCGGCTGCTTTTGGGGTCTTTCTCTCTTGCTGGTGTCAAGGGGACATGCATTGGAACAAACGAATGCTTTGAGGTGAGAAGGGCAAGAGCACTCTAATAAAAGGCTCCAGGAAAGAGTGTAGGCGACCTAGGGAAATGTGCTGCGGTCAAGTTTAATCCTGGGAAAAGAGGCCCTGGAGAAAGCAGATGAGGAAGATAGGAAGGAAGATAGGGAGGGGGAGACGCTGGGTGTGGAGGGAGGAAGGGGCGGGGGCGGGGGCCTGGAAAGTGAGAGGGAGCAAGCTCTAATTGTGGCTGAAACGACTGGGTTGAGGACCACGGAGTGGGGAAAAGTGAAAGTCCGCGAGGAAGAGGAGGAGGAGGCAGAGCCCCGCGGACCCGGACGGGACCTCGAGGGGAGGTGGCGGCGGGGCGGCTTGGCCCGCCTCGGGCCCTCTTGGCAGCCTCGGGCGCTGGCTCCTCAGGGCTCCCTCCCTCGCGGGCGCATTGTTCCTTTGCCGGGAGACGAGGAAATTGCCTTTTGATTGCGGAAGTCCGCGGACGGGGCTCGGGGCGAGGCAGCGCGGGTCAGAATGGCAGCGTGGGAAGGGCGGCGCGCTGCCTGTCCCCGCCGCCTCTCGTGTCCGCAGCCCGCCCGGGGCGGCAGCAGCAGCAGCAGCGGCAGCGGTGGCCGCGGTGGCCCCTGCGCGTGGCCAGCCCCGAAGGAAGCGCGCTGAGCGCGCGCAACAGGTGACCCCGCGCCGCCCCGCGTCCAGCCCCCTCTTCGGTCAGGGTCTTAACCACTGAGCGCAATGCTGAGCCATGGAGCCCACTTGGCCTTGTGGATCGCACTGAGACTGCTGCAGGTGAGTGACCTGAGAAGGGGTGGGGGTCTGAGGCGCCCCCTCCTCGCCGAGAACGAAATTCCCACTCCACTTTCTGGTCTCCCGGGTTGTACTGTGAAGAGGGAGGTGGCAAGATTTCTTCCTGTCCCTTGGGAAGAATGATCCTCTGTCGAGCTCCCACCCAGACTGACAGCTCATCCTACTGTCGAAGGCAAAAAGTCACCTTCCCTCTCCAGCTGCACCCGACAGAGAGCTGCTAGGGAGAAAGCTGCTGTCCGCCTCCCCTGTGGGCCTTTTCTCCGCTAAAGAGCAAAGGGACTGGCTGAGGCTGGGGGCCAGGGCTGAGGACAGGCGGCTTGGGGAGCTTGCTGCGGACGTGTACCTGGGCAGTCCAGACTGCAGCCTTAAACTGTTGTCTCTGATTCTTTTGCAGACAGGACTGGCTGAGCCAGTGAAATGTAACTTCACCGTGACGGAGTCCAGGGTCTCCAGCCGGTCCGTATCTATCCAGTGGAAAGTCTGGGGGTCACCCTGTAACTTTAGCCTTATCAATAGTAGTGACACCTCGGAGGCCGCATGGTGCCACCCCATTCGGATAGACAACACCACGTATGGATGTAACCCTAAAGATTTACAAGCGGGAACTATCTATAACTTCAGGATTGTTTCTCTGGATGGAGAAGAGAGAACTGTGGTCTTGCAAACAGGTAAAGGGTGACAGGTGCAGTTGGATGGCCAAGCCACTCCTGGCTGGGCCCTGCCTTTTCAAGCTGGTGTTTCATTTGAGTTCCAGAATACAAAAAAAATAAAGCTGTGAAGATAAATATTGACAAAGATTTCTGGTCTTCTCAGATCTGGTGAAAAGCAGCTTGGTTGACTTTCAGAGACACCCTTAGTTCTGAAAACAGCTGACTAGCCGCTGGAGGGGGGTTGGGAGATGCAGAAAAGAGAAGCTTTGGGCTGTAGAGGAAATCTGTTAAAGTGATGTGTTTGAACTTCCATTGCATTAGATTGTCAAGCCCTGGAATAATTTTAAGTAAATGTTTTTAGAATAAATAATGGAAGCACAATGATTAGGAATATGCTTTTTCTCAACTTAGTTTTATTTTTAGAACCAAGGCATAAAATCTCTAGGAATAGAATAGAGCTAGTCATAGGGGAAAATTAGAAAAGTCCCCTGAAGTGAGATACAAAAATTATTTTGTACCTCTTGAGTAACTGAAACAGCATAATATCAGAGAACGTCCTTTGATTACTCTCTACCTCAAGTCGATTATTTTCCTTACACTTTTGGTGAATCCTTTCACGTGTGAATAGTTTCTCACCCAAGTTTTCTTACCTGTCAAATGAGTGTTAGACTAGGTCATTCAGGTCCAAGACCTTACCAAGTGCCAACCACTTAGGTAGGGGCTGTCATTTAATCCTCAGAGCTACCCTCAGATGTGCTCTAAATTCTCTAATGACTTTGATGTTTTATGACTTCATTATTCCTTAACATTATCTCTTTTTGCTGCAATAGTGAAGCCTTTCTTTCATCCAGAAATTCAAATTTAAGTAAAAAATTCTAAAAGTCAAATTTAGAAATATGTTGTTCTTACTTCTTTCTCATATCAGCCTGAACAGAGATTATTTCTTTTGCCATAGTTCTCTAAAGAGCCGTGAAAACTCTCAGTTTCAAGGGCAGTTACAGCAGGATCGGGGGATTTAATTGGGCTCATGTAACAAGTCAACCAAATATTAATTCTCTTATTTTTTTCAAAGAAAAAGAATCAGAATGCCCAATTACATCACTTGACTTACTTCAGATGAAACTTTTAGGTAATATCCGAGATTTGCAGAAACTCTAATTGGAAAGAGAAACCACTTGTTGAGAATCTGTTTTTTTTTTTTTTTAATATGGAATCAAAGAGAGACTGAAATTAACCACAATATTAAAACATTTTACGGAAGTTTAAGCAGCTGGGTTGTTAGTCATAACGTTGTTGGCTTCTTAGTATTTGAGGACAGTTCTGTGAACACTCATACTGATAATACTTGGAAATTTATAACATAGAACTTCCAGATGTGTTAATTACATTTGAAAAGGCATCTGGTCAACTAGTATGTGTGTTCAGTGGGGCAGAGCAATTTGTTAAAATAGGTTGAGCTTTCAGAAGGTTGTTGGAGAAAAAATCAAGATACTTAAGGAGCTGGAATAAAGTCATTTAACCCAGAGGGTTTACTTTTTGGAAAAATGGTAATAGAAAAGGACTCATTGTAGATGTTACTAGTTAGGATAGGTTGTGAGTTAAATTATGCAGGTAGGTGTTTCTGTCCAGAGGCATTAATGAAAGGTAAGAAATATTTACATTATATTGACCATGTTAAGTAAAATAAGACCTCATCACATTCACAATGTGCTAGTATTCAGGGTTCTCATCATTTTTCTTAAGGAGGTACGTTTTATAGATACCTCTCACCACAGATTTTATGAGCTTCATGAAAAAAATGAAGAATGAAAATTGCAGGAGGTGTTTGTATAATGATAAATTTTCCACACTTATTTGTATGATGCCTACTTAAATAAAAATTGTTTTTTACTAAGATACTTTAAAAATTGTTTCAGGGAGGAATTTTTTACTTGGTTGTTATTTATTTGTCTGTAGTGCTTTCTATATTTTAAGGACGTACATGAATTGTTCATGTAGTTAAAAGAAAGTACTAGTCTTCCTTTATATTGATTGCTAAGCTACAGAGATGAGCTCCATAAATCAAAATTTACTGTTATTATATTAAAGCAATGCCTACTAGTATAATATTGTCTGGGACAAAACTTCAAACAAAAAAAAATCACTGAAAATGTGTGTGCTTTCCTTATTCTATCTTGCTTGTCTTATCAGCCTAGAACAAAACAGAATGAGAGCAGGATGTGAGATTTGGATAGAGATACAGTAATAGCTTAGATGATCTCTGTGTCATTCAAATGTGATTTGTCTCATCATTTTTCCTGATAAATTTTCTAAAATAGCTAGTTATTTCAGTTTCACATACATGACCTTAAGGATAAAAAAATTTAACTAAGCAGGCAATATTTCAGCAAGAGTTTCTACTCCAGATTTAAAATCAGAATTGAAAAGCCTAATTCAGTTCAGCAAACTTTTATCAAGTACGATACCAGAGGGAAAAATGCCAGGTAGTGATTAGTATCCTTATAAAGATGGCAAACAAAAAGTGGTCCCTACCCTTGTAGTTTTGTGCAGTAGTGAGAGAAGGTTACGATGAAGATGATGACAGAGCCTTTGTCACAGCTTTCCTGGATGAGGACTTTACCTGGCCTCTTGTACAACATGCTTTCATAACCATAGAGGAGAAGGTATTTGGCAATTCTCAGGTTTATTTGGTCATTAAATGGGCAATGCAACAAGAATATCCTTTGCAAGCCACATTATTTAGTTGTGAATTCACCAGAAATCAGACAGTGAACATACCAGATGTTGAATAACTTGGCACATTTGAAAGATTGTGTCCTCATGGTCTAGAGCAGGGGTCACAAACCAGTAGCCTCTGGGGATGTCTAAGTGTCTAAATAATAGCTGTCTTTTATTTGACTCACAGAGTATTTGTGAAAAAATTCCAGATTATTTCACCAGCATAAAAAATGGAAAATTCACATAAAAACACAAATGTATGAATTCTCTTAAAATATTGGAATATTTGGCAAAACTGTCCACCTAGAACTCTCTAGAGCTGAATTGTAGCTTCTCCTTTTCCATACCAGTTCACTGGAATACCACTTCATTTATTTCCTTATCTGAAAGCATTCTAAAGACATTTGAATTTGTGACTTCTACTTTAGAGCTTTCATTTAGAACTTTTGGGGAGCATTATGTGTCCAACAATAAGAAGCAGGATTTTAGTACCTAAAATGGCATCTAGCACATGGTAGGTATTCCATAAATATTGATTAAATGGATGGGTAGATGGATAGACAGATGCATAAGTGGATCTATGGATGGATGAATATATGAATAGATAGATAAATAGATGCAGAAAGGTAGATGTGAATGAATGAAATTAATATTTTAGTGAGAGAATGTACATATTCTAAAAATATTGTCTGTTCTCATTGGATTATGGGTAAGCTACAGAGCCCAGGGATGGGATGTATTGTAGAGATAGAGAGCTTTATCTGTAGAAAGAATATTTTAGTGGCACTTGCCCTATTGCTAGTCAGTTTCAGCTACCTATTCATCAACCTAGGAGGAAAAAAGGCACAAAAAAACAAAAAACTTCAAATGATTTAAGTTATTTTAATATGGCTAATTCCTTTGTCTTTAATAAAAAAAAATTTTTAGGGATTTTAATTACCAAATCACCATATCAGCTATTATTTCCACTTCAAAATGTTGTTTATTGTATTAGTTTTCTAGAGTTGCCATAATAAAATACCACAGACTGGGTGAGTTAAACAACAGAAATTTATTTTCTCACAATCCTGGGGTTTAGAATTCCAAGGTCAAGGTGTCTGCAGGTTTGGTTTCTTCTGAGGCCTCTCTCCTTGGCTTGCAGATGGCTACCTTCTTGCTGTGTCCTCACGTGGTCATCCTTCTCTTTGTGATATCTGTGTATTAATCTCCTCTTCTTAAAAGGACACCAGTCATATTGTCTTAGGGCCCACTCTCAAGACCCTTTCAACTTAATCATCTCTTTAAAGGTCCTGTCTCCAAATATGATCACATTCTGAGGTACCGGGGTTTGTTTAGGGCTTCAACGTACAAATTTTATGGGGACATAATTCAGCCCATAACACCTATGTAACTTTAAACATAAGCCATTTTTTTGGATAGAAGATAGGATTTATTGTTGGGCATGAATGAGGAGGGGGCAGCACAGTGCAAGCCCTCATGAGTGCAGAGTTTACTGCTCGTGCAGAGGGCCATGACTGGAATACATTTGGCCCCACATCCATCTGGGATAAGCCGCTTCTCAGCTACCATGTCTTCAAATTCATCCTCGTTAAACTTGGTAAAGTCCCACTTCTTTGAGATGTGGATTTTCTGGCGGCCAGGGAACTTGAACTTGGCCCTGACTAGGGCCTCAATCACATACTCCTTGTTCTGCAGCTGGGTGCGGATAGATGTGATGACTTGGCCAACGTGAACCCTGGCCTCCGTGCCCTGGGGCTTTCCAAAGACACCTTGCATACTTGTCTGGAGCCTAGATTGGGGACAGCACAAGATCTGACACACGAACATACATCAGAAAGGGCTGTCCCCAAGATCACTTAGAGCAACCCATGCAAGCAACACACTATGTACACTACCAAGGACGCTGCTGTTTGTAGTCATTGCACACTGGGCTTCCATGAGGAAAGGAGTACGGTCAGCTTAATTGACAGCAGAATCTTCTTTTTTTAATTAATTTTTTTTTTTTTTCCACAGAGTCTCACTCTGTTGCCCTAGCTGGAGTGCAGTGGTGCAATCATAGCTCACTGCAAGCCTTGAACTCCTGGCTTCAAGTGACCCTCCCACAACAGCCTCCCATGTAGCTAGAAATACAGGCTTGCATCACCATGCCTGGCTAATTTTGCTTTTTTTTGTAGAGATGGAGGTCTCACTATATTGCCCAGGCTGGTCTCAAACTCCTGGCCTCAAATGATCCTCCTGCCTCAGCCTCTCAAAGTACTAGATTTACAGGGTTGAGCCACCATGCCAACTCTTATTTCTTA